TAGGAACAAGTGCCTCGCTACTAGGAACAAGTGCCTCACTACTAGTAACAAGTGCCTTACTAGTAGTAACAAGAAGCAGATTCATCACTCGCAATTGGTGTCATTTTCTGTTGACTCCTCCATCGGGGCCACCGTTTTTGTTGGGCTTCGGCTGAGAAAGTTGAGGGCAAGTGGACGGCAATGACAAATGAAATGATCGATCTATATCCTCGAATCAAGCACGGGTCTTTCCATGGATGAGGTTAGCAAGCTAAATGTGAGAGCCCCGTGAAACAAGGAAGTGCATCTAGTGTGTCTCTCACAAATAGGATGCAGTACTAGTCGCATCCAAGACTTGCCTCTGTTTCGGTGGTTGGAAGACCCTATCGCATGTATCGTCCAATACAAGCTTAGCTGTGATTCGTCAGGACTTGGTGAACTCTATCTGCGTGCTGCGAAGCTGATTCTACTGCCGTCTGACCTCGCGCGCACCTCCTCAATGACCTCGCCCGTGACAACTCTGGGATTCCAACAGCCTGGCGGGTGTCGGAACGTTTCTGGGACAAGTCCACGAGAACTTGACTGCAAACAGCACATATACATTCAGAAGTACGATAATGGAGATAATATATTACTAAATATTGTACGTTATTGTTATATACATCAATCTGATATTACCGGTGCTGTGCAAGGAAGGTGCTTTCCTCTTTGTGGCTGTTACCAGCAACACACCAGCAAATCGGGTATGACCACTCGAAAGGGGCCATCGGGCCATCTCTCACCTGGCTCCTGGTGAGACCCCCGGATCCTGGCACCTGGTCTCACCTAGTGACCTAGTGGATGAACCACCTCCAGAAAAACCATTAAGAACCGAACAATCACCGAACTCCCCCCACCAAAAACCCATCCAAAAGCCGTTCGCCGCAGAATCTGCGTCCGCAAAAAAACATCGAAAAGAACCCTACGGCGTGCGAACCGCGGTTACCGCGGCCTGGGCAATCGCGGTACGTGGGCCAGCGCCGGTCCACCGCCTGGGCTTGGACGGCCAATTCAGGCAAATGCTTCAGTTGCTGAGTTCAAACCAGGCTGCTATAAACAGAAACCATGCAACTGAGCACAAAAACATCATAACAACTTGGGTCAGTTCACCCAAAGAATGTCTGTTCATGGCCGCGACTTGTCTCGCAGCTGGGCCGGTTGGAGATGGCGAAAATGCCTACGGATCGCCGATGAAGATCGGTGTGATTCCGTCTCATCAGTCCCTTCCAAAGCAACGCCATAACACCCCCGCCATAGGGTGGCCTGTGGCGGTCATGGCACCCAGGTCCCTAGAACGACCCTGGTAGGTTGACCACCCGTCTGGATATGTCGTCTATTCTGTTCATCCTCGGTTGGAACAAAACAGGGTGTGCCGGTCTTGACCCACCCACGGTATGCATCACAAGGTATCAGGTCACATTGCACACTCCTTCCGAAGTTCCATGGAGAAACAAGCCTTGGCCGGTGTGGCCCGGCCCAGCCAAACCGAACATGTCAAAGTCGAAGAACCTCGACCAAAACTCGAGAGTTTGGTGTGCATCAAACTAGGGAGACCTCCCAGTTTGGCCGCTGGAAGAAGGAGAAGAGACCACAAACCAGTGGTTGGTGGTCTCCCTGTTAAAATACACACCCAAATGAACTTGATCATCCCATGCAAACGTTTTGTGGAATCTTCCTGGACCGCCCTCGGTCACAGACACGACGCGCACCGCCGGTGCCTCTTTGGGTGGATGCTCGCGCAAGACCCGCAAGGAAACCCCGTTGTGCAAGCGCCAAAGCCAAAGCACCAAGCGTTTGGCCTCGAAGCCAAAGGAGGATGTGGCATCACCCACCTAGGAGAACTTAGGATAAGCTATCATGATCGGACAAACAAATCCTCCTTTCACGTCACAAACTCCTGCTGTCCCAAGATCCTTGAGACAAGCATTGATGGGATCTTACAGAGTCCAACCCTGAACACACAGAAAAGAACCTCGCACGAGCCCTGCACTCAACTTCTCCCCCTTTTTTCTTTTAAGAGGTGGTGGAAAGGTCGGCCAGCCTGTAAATACTTTACACTGACCACCTGGCTACAACCTACATAGCCAACATCAGCCGC